TCCTGCTGAGACAAGACATCCATGTTATAAACATGAACTATTTTATAATCCAGTGTGGTGAGGCAAGGGTTTCCATCTCCCATGTCAGTTAGCCAGGTAAACGCTTAGTCCTCAGAAAAGGGCTACAAAAGTAGTTACCTCTGCTCTTACCAGTCTCTTGTCAAAAGCATCCCTAAGGAGGACACGGAGAGTAGGTTGGGACAAGATACCCACATTTGGTGTTGCCCTCCTTTAGCTGAACTTCCTCACTGAAAAGACACGAAGGAGCAGGAGCTCATTGTTTCTCAGAAAAGGATGCAGCAGAGTAGGTTTAAGGAATGAGACGCTTTTGAGAATTTTTTTCTTTTTCTTCCTACTCTGCCTCAAGCCTGAAGGACAGTCATAGCAGAAGTATTCTTAAAGAGACTTCTGATCTCCCAAGTGCAGGCAGAGAAAGTGTGAAGAGAAACATCTTGTTCCTTAGGACATGCAAAAGAAAGCTGATAGAACTTCCAAACCCCCTGTGTAAATCAAAGATCTGAGAAGACATAGTGCAAGACCCTAAAAATTGATCAGGAATTATAATTTTTTTTAAATCCTTCATTTTTCCTGAACTTCTTATAACTAGACCTTAGTGGTCAGAAGCAGTGACAAAGGGCTTGAGTACATTTCTTTGCTCCAGAATTCACCGTAGGCCAGAAGATCTAAGGTGATGGGACATGTTCTTCCTCTCTTGCACACTTGATAGCGTAAAAGGGGAGGAAACAATATTGCTGGAGCTCAGTAGCAGTCTGAACATGTTGATCTCAAACTTTTTTTCCCCTGAAAGCTATTTTTAAACTAGTCTAAAAGTAGCTTCTCTTCTTTGATGCTTAATTAGTTCCAATTAAAATAGACTAGATTTAAGTAGTATACGTCAAAGTTTGAATGGTGCTCATCAAAATACAGTAAACGATAAAAACCCCCTGCACTTACACTGAAATATATATATGCCCTTTTTATCTCCTCAAGACTTCCAAAGGGGTTTGGGTTATGAATCACAAACATTCCCCTCAGCATGAGAGTCTTATGAGTCAGGAAGATAGTCATCATTAATCACTCCTCAAGCATTTTTAACAAGGTGGCTCCTGCTCGCTGCATGTTTTCATTCACATCAGTCATTTACATAGCATAAAAGGTGTGCCTAGCACTTTACAGACAACTAAGACAAAAATCTTTGCTTTGCAGTGTTTACAGCTACAATAGGATCACACAGAATGAGAAAAAAATTCTCTTTATGAATGAAAAAAGAAGAGAAATCACAACTACTGCGAAGTAGAAAGTGGTGTGAACTAAGTTTACATTTCTGTATTTCTATATGATACAGTTCCTACTTTTACTACTCACTATTTTAAGTAGAAACTTATTTACACAATTCACTTCAGGCTTAAATATCATTGTAACGACAAAAGCATTTTATGTCCTCCCCTTTCCCAAAGGAATGCAAATCACTATTTTGCTGTTAGACTGTTTAAGGGGGGGGGAGGCACCCCAGTTCTCCACCAAACACTTACACCACTTGCATCAACATGTCTTTTAAGAAGCAGTAGTAGAGGTGCCAGAGTTGCTGTGATCTGAGTGGCTATTTAAAAGAATAACCAGAATAATCTGGAAATGAAATACATTTTCCATTAAAAAAAAAAAAGAGATAAGATACCTATTCCACAACTGCCACTTAGTTCATGGTATTTAAGCAAAGAACAAGGACAGTTTAATTTGTTCTTCCCAGCATGGCTTGTCAGTGATCATCTTTTCTTCCTCTAGACACTGCAAAACCTCATAATATAAGTGCATCGGCACTTCATGGAAAAGCTGTATATGCTCATGGATATTTTTTCCAGACTGCTGATCCTACAGTCCTTTCACCGGTAAGGAATGCTTATGTGCTTCTCTCACACTTTTCTCCAAGTATTACAGCTGTTATTTTGGACTTCAGTGCCATAAATGAATGTATCAGCCCACAAGACAGACCAGAGTTATGAAACAACAGCTGTGAAAACAATGCAATTAAGGACACAGTTTCAGAAGCACTCTGTTACAAGCTGTTTATTAGAACTTCACTTTGACAATAAATAAGGTATTTCCCAAGCAATCAAAATGTAATTATTTAGAAAGTTGAACGACTGAAGTTTTCACAATGCTTTTTTTTTCTATATACACGATTTACTGTATTTTAAACACCAGTTCATCCAGAGCTGTACAACAGTAGGATGTCCATTTCTTAAATTTACACAGCAGGAGACTACCAAGACTACCTTTAATCTGGAAGCTGTGTGTGTAAAAATAATCCAAAACCATATCAGCTTCAGGTTGGATAGTTCAACTGTTACGAATGAATCTCTCTGTTCATTAAACTAGCTGCTGAATTCAAATTTGGATGTATGGCTTACCCAGAAGAAATAGTGCCTTTTAGATTTATGGTTTTAAAGAACTAGTAAGCCGCTCAATTCCAACAGTACAACGTAACCATCTGTAGTTTACTGTGCTACTACACACCCTGTTCTGCCCTCAACACAAATGGCACAGAACAAACTTCTGTGCAGGATGATCAGTTTCAATGTTGTAAGTCTCTAATAGTAAGTACAAACTTTGCACTTCAACTTACTGTTAGTTATGAAAATGTCTTTCTGTTTTGGTCAAATGAATTAGCATTTCTTCTCTTAAATACTCAAGACATTTAATATGCCTTAATATACTTCTAAGAGTTTGACATTCAAAGTTAACTTCAAAAGAATGTTTCTGTTAAATAAAGCACCAAGTTTTCCCCATGTGTTTATTCCTTAAAGAAAGTCTATGAAAGACTAGGTTTTTAAAACATTAGTTCTGCTAAGAGTTGTAATTTAAAAATAAAATGTAAATCTTATGGTTTGATCAAAGCCATGTTTCCAAAGTGAGCTTTACATATTCTGTGCAACATCCCATTTTCTTTAAGTGCAGAGGTACAGGTCTCAAAGTTATGCAGCTGCAATCGAGTTATCATCTGCTTGACGACCCTGAGGCTTTAAGAAAATAAAGACAGAGAATTAAAAACAAACAAAACAAAAACCGCAGAAGACCAAAGCTGTTCTGAAACTGACTTTGCAATACATTGTGTTGATCAATATAGATCCAGCACACAAGTGCAGCATTAAGCCTATCCTTACTTCTCGTGGTTCCCACCAGTAGCATAAACACAGAGGACTTCCAACTGAAGCTTCAGTTTGGCCCTGTGAGTACTCGGTAGAGGCCCCAGCTCCTTAACTGCCCTGGTAAAGGTCAAGAGCATCTCCATCCACATTTGGACAGCTTAGCACAAAGCCTGGCTGATGAGAGTTCCGAGTATTACTGCAGTATGAAAAGCTGGTAATTATCAATGCATAAAACAGGAAGGAGACTGACAGTTTCTTGGAAGAATTTTAAGCAGAATCACTAGAAATGGGAGAGAGTGAGGAGGAAGTTTTAAAGAAAAGGCATCCTTACAATAAGGTTTTATGACGTTCTGACAACTCCAAAGCAAAAGCAAAGAATTCTGAAGCCTGAGAGATTCCACAGGAGTGTTGAGAACCCACGCTTTTGAGGAAAAAAAGCCTTTGTATTGACTTAGGAGAACATCTTGACAACCAATCTAGAAGAGCTACTGATTGACAGCATATGCAAAAAGTAAATTCTGCCTATCTATCTCTTTTGGCTAAAAGAAAATTGAAAGAACGCCAGGCTTGTTTCCTGGAAACGGGATTACAGATGTCTGAACAAGTCCACCTCAAGTCATACAAACAAACTCTTCAGGCTCCTAGCTTGCTAAGAGTCTGACTAAAAAGTGAATACAATATTCTAGAGACAGCAGCAGTGGAACAAGGCGGCATTGTTTTGGGCAACTGGATTTCAATGATTCTTAAAAAGCCAAAAGCAGCCTGTTGTCTTCAGAGTCGTACGACTTAGGAAGAAAAAAATCTAGACTGAGTGATTCACTGAGAGGATGTGTTTTTAGAAGTTATTTAAGGGAGGTGTGGGCTGCTACAGTGTTTCTGAACCTTATCACACAAGTTGTTCAAACACTTCTCTTTTCCAGAAGTGCTACAAATTACGGTATTAAAGTATTTCATTACATTTAGCTTACTCCACTGTACTCAAAATACAGACAACTCTAAACTCATTTTACAGAGTAAGACATGGAATAAGAGAGACAGGCTAAGCACATTCAGCTAGTTCATCTAATTGTAGCCAAATACCTGCTGCATGTAAACATATTTCTTCAGAATTTTAGTTGATGACACCAGTGCAGAACCCAAGACTTTTCAAACCAAATAACCATTACATGCCGGCCATTTCAGTCTGCTTAGAAACACTCAGCTTTGAGCAGAGCTGGGGTGGTAGTCCCCAAAAACCGAGCAGCCCCGCAGGGAGCCTTTAAGCACAAGGCATTTCTCACAGTCTTACCTTTACAAAAATGTGCGTTGGTATGAATCGTCTGAGCAACTGATTAGTGAAGTTTGGGAACCGCAGCAAGTTCACATGAAGAGATGGTAACTGCTGATATCCAGCCATCAGAGGATAGAAGTTGTATAACATTTCCTGCTGTGTGCCAGGAAGGATTTTTAATCGGATCTTAAAAAAGAAAAGAAAAAAAAGCCACAGACATAGATGAGTTCTGTGACCAAAAGCAGTCCTCTGTTTACTTTCTATTTATACAACATTTCCTTTCTGACCTTGGAAAGAACGCAACTACTTTTCTATTCTAACTAAACTATTACTCCTATACTGAAACACCATGTTAGCCATAAACAACATGACAAATAGCTTCTAGCCAGGCTTCCATTTAGCCCTTCTTTAAATGGAGTCTGCATCCATGCCTTCTTCCAGACAGAACTTCCCAAGGTTTAAACATCTATAAAACAATAAGTTTGTTCTCTCTGCACATCATTGTAAGTCTAATCAATGTATTCTTCACTACCAGATAAGCCAGCAGGATCAGTAGACGTGACAATTTTGTACCTGTTTAAGGCCAGAGAACATGAAGGCATCACTGGGTTCCACTGACACCTCCACATCCTGGACTAAGTTGGTCTTATTTTGCAGGTGATATCTGACAGGTAGGGATTCTCGGACTCGACCAAATGATGGCAGATCTTTGGAAAGAAAGAAAGTAATCTCAAATACAAAAGTATTTTTTGTGTGTGGAACTTTAAAATGAAAATCTATCACAAAAAACAGTGAAAAGTTTGAATAAAAAACCCCCACACAACTAGGCATCTAAAACATTTCTGACAAGATTTTTCAGAAAAAGATTAAAGAACAGAACACAACCTCATTACAACTTTTCAATAACACTTCTTCAACATCTAGTTACAAAACCCCCAACTGCTAACACTGTCCAGGAATGCTAACTAGGAAGTCACTTTGGTTGCTGCTGGGTATTTTCAGCTTACCAAAGCCTTATGAGATACTGTCACAAAGCTCCTTCAAACTATAACAGGAAAAGATGGTGGAAGAATCTCAGTACAAATAAAACCAAACTGAGGAAAGCATAGGAATTCTGTGAGTTCAGTAAGCATTCCACTCCCCCTCTGCTCTTGTGCGGGTGAAGCGGTAGAAGAGAAACAGTTCACCTGCCCACAAGCAGCTCCAATTCTTCAGGCTGTTTCTTTCCTGGGATGCAGCCAGGGTGGGGGTGGATGGAACAATTCTTGCCACGGGCACCTAGAAAACCCTACCGGGAAGGTGGCATCGGCAGAGGTAACTCTGGCCTCTGTGCTGCCATGTAACACAGGGCGATCCACTGACAGCTTTTAAGAGAATGCATTCATGTAACCACCTTCCAGCTCTTCCCTTGAATTGAATGGGGGGAAAGAGGGGCAAGGCTTGAGGCAGTCTAAGCAACGATACAGCTTCTTTCACTAGCTCCCAAATATCCAGCACCAGTTTTCTGTCTTTTGGTACAGTAAATGCAAGCTCTGGATGCTGTAAAACTTTGGCAGTCCTAAAAATTCTAATTGGGACATACACGTTGCCAATATTACCTGCATTAACATGGAGGGGAATGCTCTCTACAATCACGTGTGGTAGAGTGATGACTGTACTAACAACAGGTACACTTTCCACAGGTGAACTTCTGCAGGAAAAAGTCATACACAGACCATGTTTAAAAGTTATACAACATAAAGTATCAAGCAAGTAAACCGAAAGAACATCACTTCTATGTGACTAAACTAAAATTGTAGCAATTTCAGTGGTGGAAAGAAAAAACACAAATCCTTACATTGGATTGTTTGAAGTGAGCAAAAAAGTGCCATAGCATAGAGATAAAATAGCAGAAGGCAAGTAAGAAAACTAAACAGCTCTAAAACTAAATAAAAGCCAACTAGAAGAAAGATATACCTCAACATTTATCTTTGAAAACTGAGTGAATACATAAACACACAATCCAGGGTGAGAAAACAGTTTTCGCATTTAAAAAAGTTTGTTAGTTTCTACTACTGCAAAACTATTCCTTTGATCTAGCTTCTCAAGGGAAGTATTTCATGACTGGAAAAAAACAGGCAGCAGAAGATGACAAAACTTCTTTTAAGATCTTAAGTCACTTACAAAACTGAAAGCTTCATGGAATGTTAAAATCATAACCACATAATATTTATCTCTTAAGTGAAATACATATTTAAATCAAAAGTCTAACAAGCTAAGCAGTAATTAGTAAGGTCCAAAGTCCTGGCAGTGCTTGCTACGGGAAGATCCAAAACCAAAAAAGAAAAAAACCAAACCAAAACACACCCCACCAAAAAACCACCCCTCCAACTCACCATCATCCCTAAAGCCAAACCAACTTATTTCCTCTCCCCATACAGCCCAAGAGATGCTTACCTCTTCCAGGAAATGATATAGCACCCAGTTGCCACTCCACTAGTATTAGTAACTGGAGGACATCGAAGGCAAAAGCACTCACTGGCACTCTCACCTGTCTGTAAAACAACTATCAGCAAGATTTTGTTTAAAATTCAAGCATAATCATTAATGCAGAAGCCACCAAGTCTAAAAATCCAATATGACACAAACACAAGTGTTGAGCCAGAAAGGCCTCTGAAGTGCTTTGCAAAGTATACCTACATAATATATAAATTTAATAAAGATTGCGAAGTATGCGAATACATGAAAGGGTGACAAATATGACAGTTTACTTTCTGAATGGCATTATAAGGTCCTTTGTGTACACAGAGAACAAGTCATTGCAAATTCAGTGTACATACACAAAAAAGCGCAAAATAACGCTAACTCAAATTCTACACTTCTCCCACAGCAAATTCCAAGACACCAGCATAAGATAATTTTCATTTTAAAAATGAGAGACAACATGGACATTTCTCCTCTCCCACCCAAACAGATGAGAGGGAACACAAGAAAAATCTACTGGCTTTGAGTTTTCACTCTTTTTCTTTTTTTTTCCTCCACTTGAATGAACTAAGGGAAAAAAAGAGTACCTTTTCATTTAGAGAGTGATTTTTAAGAAAAGAACTAAGAAAATAGATGTTTTAGTCATTCAAAATTAATCATTAATCTTTATGAAGTCTTACAAGGAAAAAAAAAGTCATCCAAAAGGTAAACAGATGAATAGCTGGTATCTGGAGGGGGTTCATACCTCCTGCCAGTTAGTTCTTTAGGAGCATCAACCAGAAGCCATGAAGCACAAGGGACCAGAGCTGAAGATGAAATCTCAGTTTGAAAAATAAAGGACCTAGGAAACAATTGCTTTTTGCCAGGTAACCCTTGAATTTACAGATGAACTAGAGTCTTGTGAGTCCTTGATTACATGGGTGGACAGGTGCTCCACAATCAGGCAGCCACCCAGACTGCCTCATTTTATTCCAAGTTTTGATATAATACGCACGTTTTCACATCTCTGACTCAGCAAATGCAAAAACAATGTTTCTTGGAAGATTTTGGATCAGCTCTACTGCCAAGTACTCCATTTATTTGGCTTTAAAGCTAACATACTACACTCTTAAAGGTTGAGATCTGCAAGATGATATTACTTAAATGTAAAAAAAGTTAAGTATGTTAGTACCAAAAAAAAAAAAAATGCTTACTTCTAACTATTCTTTATAGCCTGCACTGTCTAGCTTCAGATTTTTTCAGTTTCATGACTGCAATCATGGATCACTTTAGCCTTTGGATGCTGCCTCTATCACATGGTAAAGCGTTTGCATTCCAGAAAGTATACTTAGCCCATAAACACTGGAAATATTGAGTATCTTTCCATATGGATATCTAACAATTTGCATATCAGAAGTACTTTCAGGTGCTTTCCCTTATGTCTGCTATATTTAGACTTTTGGTCACCATCTATCATTCAAGTCTATTTACTTGAACTAGTGAAGCAGAACTACATTTTGAAGCCTACTGCTGCCTAAGTTGTGTTCTGGCAAGCAACTATAAATGGAAGAAAGCTGCTTAGTACTAGAGTTCGATAAGCATATGCTGTTTAAAATGTCCCCCTTTCTTACTCCCAACTTATGCAAAAAATATCCTCTTGATAGAAAGCATAATCTAAGAAAACTTACCATTCTCCACATAGGATTCCAGTTGATCTACTGGGGTCATGGAAGCTGACAGCTGTAGCTGGCTGGTTACAATAGTGAGAGGCCAAGGAGAAGCACTCAGGATGTCTGTCATCAGTAAAAATGGTATATCTGCAAATACTCTGTCCAAGTGCTCCAACTGTCAAGACAGACACAAACTCTGGCTATTTCTAACTGAACAGGGTGCAACTACTGAAAGTGGCACGATTCCAAAATAACAACTTTTCAAACACATACCTTTGTGGAGACAAATTTGACAGCAACATCAAAAGGAAATACTGTTTCTATGGTTACAGTTTCATCCTGCATAGGTAATGAAAGGGGTGGGAAGAGGAAGGGGGGAAAAAGAAAAAGTTATATTCAGTTTCAGACCTGGCTATTGATGACAAAGGTTACTAATGTAAAGTTACATTTAATCATCATTTTAACCAAGTCCTCCCCCAGGGCAGAATGTATCTTTAAGATATTTAAGAATAAATATAGAAAACTTTTCTTCTGATTATACTTATGAAACTGCTCAACCTAAATTGGGCTACCATACTGCTGATTTAGCATTTTTTCTATCTACTAGAAAGGCTTCTAAGAGACTTGGAATTACAGCATTTAAATTGAGAATATTCTTGCATTTCATGAATGTATCTCCAGCACTTGGTGCATCTTTACCCGGTGACACTTGCAGAGGATTTCTTTCCCCTCAACGATAGCGTTGATTAAGTAAGAAACGTAAACCAGGAACATTCTTATACCGACTGTTCCACAACGAATGTATATTGGTTTTTCCAGCTGCAAAATAAAGGAGACAGGATGAGCCAAGCTATACCTAAATTACATTAATTAGGCCTAGAGCTGTCCAAAACTTGTTAATCATCTTACTTGGTCCAAGAAGGCAATAGTAGAATGGGTATTATTTTGACCATAAAGAATCTCCTATAATGCATGACCTTAATCACACAGTGAATTATTTTAATCAAAGTAGCACAGCTCCAGCTGCTTCACTACTGATTCTTGTACTGTTAAGTAAAAGATGAGCAAAGAACCATTACTGTATAATATATGATTTACCCAACTTCTGAGTTACTAGTCACAATTTCAGTTTGGTGCAACACCTGCATATTTGATCCTCTACCATGCTGATCACAGTTGCTGACTACTATTATCTACTGTGCATTAGGCAGTGCATTTAATGAACAGTTGAGATTAGCCTCCTTACTTACTTATCTACCAGCTATATCATCAATCCCAGAACATACCTCATTCCCAAATTTAGTCCAAAAGGGGATCTAGCTAAAGCAATACTAAACTACAAGTAAACAATAGGCACAATATGCTGTATGTCATTTATCGGTTCACATATCTGAAAAGAAACATAGGTCCTTGTGTGAGAGTCTTTTATTAGTTGATCCTTATTTTCTTAAGTGTGATATCAAAAGGTTTTAAGCCTCACCTTTTCCCCTGGTTGCAAGTCTCCTACAGGGATATCAGGAAGCAGTGCAGGAAAGGAGTCATCACATGTATCTGTTCCATGAAGCGTCACCTGAGTTTTCTGAGTCAGGTTGGCATCTTGCCCTAGGATTAAAAACAGTCTTCATATCCACGCAGGCTTACGTCACTAAAGCATAAGAGCAATAACTAAAAATAAGAAGATATTCATCTCAAAAAGAAACACATGAGGAATTAACATTATTCATTTGGTTGAATGAATCTTTCAAAAGCACCACAGAGCATAGATTTGATAACACCTTAAGTTTTTTTTTTTTAAGTTGGAAGGTTCACATCCGGCAAGGTTTTTGTTTCATCCATTTAGGCCAGAAAAAAAAAACAACCTCAAAAATCAGAAATCATATCTACATGTTCCCTACAATATACAAAACACAACACTATTACGTGATCCAAGTTTTTCTTAGTACTCTATATAAGGTAAAAAGGAAGTTCCACTGTTCTGTGATTCTTGTTTTCAAGAGATGAATGATTAATGATTTTGCATCTTTTAAAAACTGTTCTTCCAAACCTGTGTTGGAAATATGTAAAAACAAATATATAGATGTTAAATGGCACCATTCTCCAGTCAGAGATTGACTAGAATAACGGCATTACTAAAATCACGTTGGATAATTTTCAAAGCAAAACATCTTGCCAAAGAGTTGCAACTGTGGAAAATATATCACCTTCCCTGTAAATGAAATGTCAAATTTCAATTGTTCTTTTAATGCAATCAGGAAGCCCACACTGACCTTGCATTATCGCGTGTCAAGAGTCAAGATCAAGCAGGGGAAAAAAAATAAAATAAAATCAAGACTGACTATTAAGCACTGCCTTAGGAGCCAAGCCCAAACCTCCAATTAAATAAGTTTAAAGAACGCTCCACCGACTTTAATGAACCATACAACTGGGAATGTGGTTTTATTTCAGAGTACACAGCACATATTGCATTTCACATACTAGTGGCTTAAAAATATTTTTGCCTTTTAGGATAATTGCTACAAATAGGCTTACCGAGTATGACATTTGGACTTCACATATTGAAAACTGTCAGCAATAACTACATACAGCTAAGCAGGACTTAAACATATATTTGCATTTTTTCCTTTTCATTTGAAAGAATACCATCTCAGTTCACCACCACCTCCAAATGTCAAGTGGTTTAAAAACCAAACCACATTGTCCAGGGTGGGGAAAAAAAGCAGGGATGGGTGTGGGAGAAAACCCACAAAGACTATACTTAGGAAAAAAATTTATCTAGCATTGTCTAATGCTTTCATCTCAGCAAGAAAAAGATCTCTCTCTTGGGAAATGAAAAATTTAGTTATGAGCAAATTAAATAAAAGGTTAGAAAGGAATACAAAAGCCTGCATGTTTTCTTTCAAACTTGTAAAGATTTATCTTTTGAACACACCCACATAAACGCCATTGACAAGCAGTGGTTAAGGTAACCATAACTGAATGAGTCTGTTAGCTCTTGTTCTTACCACTGTATCTCATCATTCCCAACCTTCACTTTGGTTTGGCTCTTAATTACAGCAGGAGAGCCATTTACTGTATTTCTCTGTATTGCATCAAAAACAAGGAGTCAATTAGGAGACTGCTGGATTAAAAGAAAACAACCCCAAATACCTGGCTTTAATCCTGCTGTAAGCTTAACATCTTTGGCCACTGTCTCCTCATGTGACTGGACTGTCACAATCAAACAATACATTTCATTAGTCAGGGCAGGAGGTTCATGACGGAGCTGAACAGAAATGTTTGGCACTCTAGAAATAATCCTTTAAGAAAAAAAAACCTCAGTTATTGTACGTTTTTTAAATAACACATTTTTAAGACTAGCTTAAAGGAGATTAAAACAGCCTATTCTGACAACTGGTGGCCTATTCAAGTAGGAGATGTGAGACTCTTGAAAAGCAACATGATGTGAACAATTCTATGAAAACAGTTTGGAACCCCAGTAATAAGCATTAATGGTTCAGATGTTCTGAAAGAAGAAAGCATCCCCACCAAGAGCAATCAGATTTAATTATTGTGAATACATCTAAATTAGTATTAGCCTATTTATTAATAATTATTTTCCAATGCAGTTGCTTAGGGATTCTTTGCGTGATGGCTTTTGTAAGAGAAAGAATAACACCTCCTAGTTTGCACAAAATATGGGAAAAGTCTGCCTAGCAAAGTTAGGTGAAGGGGAGAACTAAAGCATACTTGGTATGCTCAGAGATCAGTGCAAGCTTTTTCTGCACTTCTAGCTATCTGGAGCTTCAAAAGTCCTTAAGAATTAAGATAGTACCTATCTTATCCCCAGTTAAGACAAGACATTAAAAAGCTCATATTAAAGAAATCCCAACAAGTCTTTCTTCTTCTTTTAGGCAGAGCGATCGGGACTTCGCAGGAGACTCACAATGATACGTTATATGTATTTTCAAGTTTTTACTCACATAGTGCTTGCCTGAATAGTCAAACTGTCCCAGTGCACTTCATTGTCTGGAAGCCTAGGTCTTCGCTTGAAGGAACGTGCTGCCTGCAATGCTTCTTGAGATGAAGCAGCATCTCCACCTCCTCCACGCCAGTTCAGAATCACACATCTGCCAGATTCACTTCCCAGGATCAAATCCACAGAGGTGATCTGACAGACACAAGTTTAAACATGTAGTGATAATTGTTCTCAGATCACCTACTGTAAGAATATAGTTTTCCAATACATACAAGCACAATAAAGATGTGTATCACCAAAAAGCTTCTGGCAGCTTTGCAGCCTGAAGACACCTCACCACTCCAGGATCTCATTTAATGAAGCAGTGGTGGGAAAAGTATCTGTCCTCATGTGTGTGCGGTGGAGTATTTTGTAGTTTCCTACCCTCCCACAGTGCTATACCACCCCCTCTTTTTTTAATATGTATTGCACATATAAGAAAACAAAAACAAACTTGAAGCAATACTTAAGTTTCTGTGATTTTTTTTTTTGCTTTGGCATTGTCAATAAAATTTTACTCCCTTTCAAACATTTGGAACTGCAGTGACATTACTAACTGGTGCCAGACTAGAGTTCTGTAGTTTTGAGTTCTTTGTAAGCAACAGTAATAAAGGTGTAAAAAAAAATTAAAATATTGTCAAACCTCAATCTTCTTTCCTACATCTTCAGTTTTTGCAACAAATTTGAAAGTGAACTTTCTCGTTTTGCCAGGGACTAAGCACATTGTTCCTTGCGATGACTGTTCTAGGATATCACTTTTTTGATAGGCTTCTTCTACCACACAGTATTGGTTGTAATCCTACAACAGAGGAGTGGGGAAAAAAAATTGATAAATCCAGACTTCATACATCTTCAGAGATTAACAGTAGCACAGCAAGCGTTAAGGCTCTGTGTTACTGATTCAAACTACAGGGTTCTTGCTACTTTTTACACTATTGAAGTTAGATTTAGCAAGTAATTACGACAATTCATTAACACAAGATATCCATTATATTACTGTAACTTCAGGCAAGAACATCAAGAGAAATAAGACATTAAACTGATCCTTCTGAAACCCTGGAGACCTTCATAGAAAGGCAGAGATAATGACAGATGAACTAATCAAGCCATATTTGGGAGTTTTATCACAGTATCAATATACTTGTCAAAAGTGATAGATAATGCAAAAAAGAAAAACCACTTTTCCAACTTCAGTATTAACATAAGTTTTGGGAAAGAACTTTTAAATTTTTTATGTTTAAAAACGCTAACAGATATTATTCTATTCTTATGATAGGCTTCTATCACTAGGTCAGCGATAGATAGAACATAGTTACCTGATTATTGAAACTGATGCAGAGCTTAGAAAACCTGATAGGATGAGGACAATCAGCTCTCAAGTACACATCAAACTGCACAGGAACATCAACGTGAAAACTAGGAGCAAGAAATTTTGCTTTGCACTGCACTGGAATTAAAAGAAAAAGGGGAAAAAAAAAGTACTAAGTGTTAAACACATCAAAATACAACATTAAACTCCAGAAGCACACTCTTGAAATAACTGTGGTAAGAATTGTTCTGTGTATATTCTTAAAACTTTGGTTTGTATGTAAGCGGGACATATTTGCCTACTAACACCTGTCACAGAAAGCTACTTTTCAGCATTTGGCTGAAACCTTTGCAGAGGAGAAGAGAGGCAGATGTCCAGCAGAAAAAAAATGAATCCTGTACACGTAGATGTACTACTTTTGTAGTTAATGCTCACTCATGCTGCCTTTCTATGGGAGGATTACTTTGCCCACATTCTGCCCTCTTTCCTCAGAATCCTACTTCAAAGCACACTGGAGTGGCAGAAGCCTTTCAGAAAGCAAGGGATTCTTCTTTAGTAATCCATATCAGGGATAGAGATCACTGCCTTTTCTCATGACTTATCTTACTGATATAGAAGAACAGAGCAGTGCTGAAACAAGAGTTTCAGTGTTGCTGGCTTTAATGCACACTTTGTATTTTTTCCTAATTAGTTATTTTCAAGATATAACTACATCAAAATTTATAATCAAGTGTAAATTTGCTTTCTTACTTACCAAATGGTATAAAATCTTGGACTTCTATCGTAAAAATATTACTGCCTGCCAAGGAAACACGGTCAGCCCACAATTTTTGTGATGCTTTCACAGCAGCAGCATTGCAATCAGGTTCAGGATCAGGGCTTTCATTCTGCATTCAGATAGAAGATTACAAATAACCATAAAAGAAGGTTACTAAACACTGACCATTCAAGATTATTTAAAAGGGTAATAGGAGTTTTGCCACTTACCATTAGAACTTTTATCAGATTTTTTTCTATTCGAGATTTCTGATCTTCTTTAAGAGTAGATGCTAGCAAACAGAACAAAAACAAAGATTACAAGACAGAAGCAAGTCCTCTTACTTTTTTTTTTTTTTGCCTTAAAAATAAATCTTTCCTTTAGATTGCATCTTTAAAAAAGAACCCAAAACCAACCACATGACATTCTGGGGGAAAAAATATTTCTAACATCCATCTACCAGTAACGAAGGACTCATTCAGTTTTTAGAACTTCCCCCATTTCAAGTGTTTCCTCTTACTTCCACTGGAACCAAGTAAAGTATTTTTTGGTTAGACAAGCATTTCATAATTTATTGGCGGAAAACTCCACAAGATTAATGCGTATACCCTCTTGTTATTTGTGTTTAAAAAAAGGAAGAAATGGTAGAAGAGTGTGGAACATGCAGAGAGGGAAGCTCAGATAATATTAGAAACAACGACCAGAGAAGGTGACAGGAAGAAAAAAGGACTAATTAAAATAAGCACTCTTCTCTTAGAAAGGTGGGTTTGTCTCATTGGCTATTCTTTAATACAAATCAGAGAAGCCTGGCCAGCTAACAGAAGATGCAAACCCATTTTTACCACACCTACCCTAATAGTGGCATTCATTAGCCATTTAGGGCACAAAAGGATTATTTCTGCAGTGTCAAGTCACAGACATTACACAAAGCAGAGTGCTTGCGTTATTACTGTGCAGCCACCCTATGTCACATTTGTTCCCTAAAACACACCACGTGTATTTCATCAGCAGAGCTCTAGTAAAAAGTCTGAGAAGCACATTTGGGATTTTTAAAGTCCAGAAAAATGGTGCTAGCTTTGTTACTTGCCAGAAAAAGTGTTCTTCCCCCACACCAAAGCTCTGAAAGTTTCTCTTACATTATTCGAACAGTCTCAAGTGAAGCTCTGTGCCTCAGATATCCTGACAGAGTCTATCTGAATGCAATGAATTTTATAATAAAAGAGCAAGAAAATTCAACTTCCAGCATACGAGAGAAGGTTGTAAAAATTCAGCACAGGTATACAGTTACTTTGTAGTCAAGTCATTTGAAGTACTGTAAGCACTGTATCTGACAATGATTTGTCAGACTTCCAAATACATGTACTTTTCTGTATGGGTTGAGTATATTTCTTAAGGGATACCTCTGCCCAGTAGCTCTAGAGAGTACGTTATATAATCTTTTAGCTGGGCCATCAGATATGAACATTTGAGAGCTGTCGTCAATATGGAAGTGAGAAGAGTCCACCATCCTTCACTGCGATATTCACACATGACATAATCCAAGAGCCTGCAACACAGTAAAATTGAGAGAAAAAAAGTTATACGCAGCAATATTTTTTAGAAGCTTACATTTATTTGGCACCATTAAACAAAACTCATCTTCACTAATACAAATGCTAGGTTAAAGTCAAGCCTACTGTTTACACACGGCAATGATTTACTGAAAACAGCATGATTGTAAAGAAACAATTTATTCCATGAATTTTCTGTTTCAGCCTAGAGCAATTTTCACCAGAGAACAACAGGAAAATTCACCTGTTTTCACATAAAGAACTAGCAAAAAAGCAACTGGACAGAAGAGTCTCAGTCCAGCATCACATTAAAAATATTCTTTACTATTGAGTATGCAGTAAGTTTTAAGAAAAACAAACCAAAATGCCACAGTAAAGTCCCTTTTTAAACTAAAGAATTTAAATGTTCCTTAAGCTGACCTATTTCTTGTCCCTCCTACCTCCTATCCCCTGCTCCCTTCAAGGGTTTCAAAGATCTACAAACAACACATGTATTTGTCAGACAAAACTACACACCTTAATATGGTTTTAATACTGAGCAATAGTTGCTATTACTAGCAAAGCAGAAGTGATTTTTTTAAACTCTGTTCAACTGTTCAAGACAACAATTTCTGCCTACTACAGAAAAATCTGCCTAAACATAAATAAGAAATGCTTGTTCATATAAAAATTAGGCTTGATACAAATTGATCTGTTTATCCTAGCCTATCTTCTCCTTCACATAGCTTCTAGTCAGCTAGTAACAACAGTAAACACATCTCTCCTACCTCAAACATACTCCGTTTACAACATGTGATCTTTGAAACCTAATTAGTGAAAACACTGCAGGACTCCTACTTAACATGACCTTGACTCCGTTTCACCTTAAAAAGACAAAGTTAAGAAACTAGGCATAAGACACATCCTTCAGAAAAGAGGGTAGCTGTACCTCAGCACCTCAGCATTAAGCTTTCCTCTCTGTAGTCATTAATAGCAGAAAACTACACCAAGAAAATTAATTCCTTATGATAATTCCCTGGTATATAAACCAAACTAAAATTCAGCTACACTTCCATATTTTTTGAATTTTGTAATTAAATGTAACTATATTCGCACTGCAGTAGCAAGCAAGTTTCAGAAATCACTTCTGGGAGAGAGACAGACACAGAGTGAGCCAGAAATAAATAATATTTGCCCAATAAGGCAAGTCCCCACAACAGCTTACAGCACAGTCTTTCTACTCTATAAGTGACTCATCATATCTGTACTGCTTTCTTTAACATAAGTGGAGTTTGTGGACTCCAAAGCTTGTGCTTCAATCAAATCCAGGTACAAGGAGCATATTGGAGATAAGCTTCCAACATTGTTCTATAGCAGTAAGACATGGGGGCTTAGTGAAAAGAATAGTACGTGAAAGAAGCAATCATAGATGGTACTCACTTCAAAGCTTTGGCATAATCTTTAGCATAGTAATATTCTTCTCCCATCTGAACCACTGATAAAAAAAATAAAAGTGTTCTGGATCAATACTGAAAGTCTTTGCAAAATTAATTTAATTTTAAAAATGCATCTGATTATTTATACTCACTCAAATGACTTTTCATTCTTGGACATTTATATTTCTTGAACTGCGCGACAGCATTACTCAACAAAGTGATTATTAGCTCCTAGCAGATAAAACCATTACTGATATCATTATATATGCAAACACTAGGACAATGTTAGAAAAGAGTTGGTTTTGGTTTGGTGGGGTTTTTTTTGTTTTTTGTTTGGGTTGGTTTTTTTTTTTTTT